TTGAATTCGAGTCCTCTTAGATATTAATAAGGATGATCATTGGGGCTCTTATTCTGTTAGTAGTTTTAGGATCTTAAAAAATTAATTCAGGTATACAAAAATTGATCTAGACACTTTCAGTGCTTAAAAAATAAAAATAAAAAAAGACACACGGTTGTCAAGTGGCCCACCACCCATTAGTGTCATGAGTTACCTCCTCGTTAGTGTCATCACTTACCTCATTTCGAAAGAAGAGGGAACTACATATTAAACATTAGGGGCGGCTTATCGGCTAGCAAGTAAGGATTTTGAATGGACCACGGCAGCCGCCACATTTATGGAGATTTAGACATGTGGGGCATGTTGTAGCTATAATTATAAAGCACCTTCTAAACTAGGATAAGTTTTCATCAATTATATTAGTTACTATTTCAATTTTATGTGTCAACCTTTTTCGGAACGTGTAAGAGTGCTTCTCCGTACGGTTAAAAACACTTTTTCTTTCAAGTCAACTAACATATTTATAGATAAATTTGAAATACCCTTTCAAGTTTCATGTGGATAAACTCTAGGAAAATTACAATAATTGGGGTTTGTTTTATTACGACTTATTTAACTTATAATAGAAGAGCTTATTACTTGCTATGAAATTAGCTATTATAAAGATTTTTTATTATTTTTTTATGATTGAGAGTGTTCAGACTAACTTATGCATATCTCAACTAATCCTTCGAAACTTTGAAAATACCGATTGAGTAAGAGTTATCGTAACAATCTCTATTAGCAATCGAGAAGAGATTTAAATTTAGGATCTTTTGAATATTAATACATCCAAGAGTTTCTATTAAACTGTTCGTTCATCTAAAGGTAGTTTATTACGATGATTTTCTTATTTGTTTGATTAAGAAAATATAAAATAGTTTTCTTATATTAGTTCACTAAAAATATACTGAATAAACCCAATCAAATTTATTTGGAATCTTAATAGAAAATTAATAGACACATGGATAAGGATGCCCTTTTGTATGAAACAAATGATTACATTATGTTGTGATCTTTTCTCATAGGAGGATTCAATAATGGAGAAAAAAGAATATTTTTTATTTTTGTTTTTTCCTATATAATTATCCTAATTTCAGTTTGTCTTGTTGCTTAATTATTTAGTTAATCCCATCAAATTGGCCTATTCATATGCTACATTTTATAAGATTATAATTGTGAATTTGTGACTAAAATTAGAAAATAATAAGTATTTTACAATAGACTTTTAAGAATATATAGATAGAAGAATTGTAATACTTATTACTAGGGGTGTTCAAAAGAACCAGTTGGAACCGGAACTGGTGGGTACCTGGGGTTTGATTTCGGTTCCTATCCAGAACCAATCGTCAACGGGTAGGTTCTGGTTCTAAATTTTTGGAACCATTACTGTGCAGTTCCGGTTCCGGTTCCTATAGTTAGGAACCAAAACCGGAACCAAGAACCAGAAACCGGAACTAATATAAAATAAAATTAAAGATTAGGGGGGTTAATAAAAACTTTTGTAGAAAAAGTAATGTGAATACATTTATATTTATATTTCATAACATTTAAAGTAAGTTGGTTTGACTTTTGAGAATATACCTTTACAAAGTAATGAAGTTTGTAATTTTGAAGTTATAATTTGTAATTTTCTTTTTGTTAACAAGTGTCAGGTGGGGGGTATTTGTAAGTTTTTAATGGTTTTTTTTGCCATTTTAAAAACTTTTGAAGGGTCATGTAATTTTACAGGATACCCAGAACCAGAATCGGAACCGTTGTTCAGGTTCTAGTTCTGGTTACCTAGGAACCGAAACCGTCGGTTCCGGTTCTGGTTCCAAATTTCAAGAAACTGTCGGTTCCAGTTCTGGTTTTTTCAAAAAATGCAGGGTACCCAAAACTAAACACTCATACTTATTACATTGAGTAACATTGTAGAATCACTAGTATCACTATTTAAATATCAACCCACATTAATTTTACTAAAAGCTTCATCCATGACTATAAAAATAGCTATTCCTCGTGACAAAGGCAAACTAATGGGGTTGCAAATGGTCCAACCCACAGTTCGATTGCCCGCTGAATGTAAAGTTAGTATCTTTGTCCATGATTTACTCGGAGGGCCATGATGATGGGTTGCTGTAAGATAGTTTCTCCTAAACATTAGTTGAGGTGCGCGTAAATTAGTTTAAAAAAAAAAAGGCTATGTTCTGGCAACAAAGCTACGGACACCGATAAATCTGCACCGAAAATGTGTACCGGCCTACGTGTAATGCGTCTCTGAATTTTTTTATAATTTTTTTCTAGTGAACGGCCGTCCATCAAATTTGGACGGCCGTTCACTCACATGGACGCCCGTCCATATTATATGGACGGGCGTCCATATACAAGGGACGGGCGTCCCCATTTAAAGGACGCCCGTCCCTCATTAAAATACAATAAAAAAAATTTATAAACATTAGGGACGGCCGTTCATCCGTTATGGACGGTCGTCCCTTTGTTTTGGACGGGCGTCCGAAAATAAGGGAGACGCCCGTCCCTAACTTAAACCTAAAAAAAAAAAAAACTTTGGTGGGACGTCCGTCCTAAATTTTTGGACGGTCGTCCCTTGCGTTGGACTGGCGTCCATTACGAATGGACGCCTCCCTTAAGTTGGACGGGCGTCCATTAGAAATGGACCCGTCCATACTAAAAAAAAAAAAAAAAAAAACAAAAAGCAAACTCATTCTTCTCTCTTCGTCTTTCTCGTCTTCTAAACCACTTGCAGTCCTCTTCCCAACCAGCTCTCGAGCTGGAAGCAACCTCTCATCCCAGCCCAACGGACGCGTTGCACTCTGGCCACCATCTCCAGCGCTAACCTTGTCGCTCCCACAGATACAATACCCAATCTTGCATAGCTTCCCGCCATTTTCATTTTGCTCTCAGCCCAGAACAGGACCCAACTTTGCTCTCTTCTTCCGTTCATCCATTAAGATAGCAAGATGCTTTTCTTTGCCTAATGATGAACTTCTAGACCCAACTTTGCCACTTGCATGTGCTTTGGACTAGTGGATCTGTTTACCCTTCCTATGTTATCAATGAAAAATAAGTAGAGTAACTGCTGCTAAATTTGACTTGCTTCATTTTATGTGGGCAGAGTGATCAGCTAGCAGTCATAGCAGCCTTGAGTGCTAGGATGCAAAACAGAGGGGTCAAGAAGCACGGTTTGTTCTCAATATTTCATCTCTCAAGCATCATGAATGCTGCTTGGATGGGTAAGCAACTTCAGCATAATTAGTTAGGAATGGGTCAAGAAGCACGGTTTTATGTTATTTTTTTTTTTTTTAGTATGGACGGGCGCCATCTCTAATGACGCCTCCAAACTTAAGGACTGGGTCCATTCGTAATGGCGCCAGTCCAAACGCAAGGGACGGCCGCCAAAAGTTATGACGCCGTTCCAAAGTTTTTATTTTTATTTTTATATTTGGTTAGGACGGCCGTCCCTTATTTTCGGACGCCCGTCCAAAACAAAGGGACGACGTCCATAACGGATGAACGGCCGTTCTCAATGTTTATAAATTTTTTTATTGTATTGTTGAGGGACGGGCGTCCTTTAAATGGGACGCCCGTCCCTTGTATATGGACGCCCGTCCATATTATATGGATGGCGCGTCCATGTGAGTGAACGATCGTCCAAATTTGATGACGACCGTTCACTAGAAAAAATATAAAAAAAATTCAAAGACGCGTTTACACATAGGCCGGTACATTTCGGTGCAGATTTCGGTGTCCGTAGTTTTGTTATGTCGGCTTGTCTATTATAGAGGCTAAAAAGTGTGTGATAGTGGACTTCCAGAGTACACTTGTAATATTTGTGACAAAAATGACACCTTATGTTAGGACACAGCTAGAATTGTTATAATATGGTGGAGGAAACTAGCTCACATTTTACACAGTTTATATTATTAACTAGTAGTGTAATTAATGATATGATATTAGATGAGGATATGATAGTGTAAAATGAGCTATTGAGGAAGGTGACACATTGTTTAATTGTCTTTATTGTGAATAAGTCATGGAAGTTTACCAGGGTTTAATAGTGAATCTACTTCTTACTTCTGCAAAACAGTGTTTAATTTGTTTCCTTCAATTGTCATTATTCTATATAATTTTAATAACAAATTTAGCCTACATCGTCGACCCCACCTAATACATATTACTTCACTCAAATAATCTTTTTTTGTTTATATCCACTAAATTTCAAATTCAAATTCTCTAAAATTCCTTCTGTGGGATTTGTATCTAATCCCCAAGATAATTATTTATATTGAATTATTCATAATTTTAATTAATGAATGTTGTGGCATGAAGATAGAGCAATTCATTGAAAGCGGCTTTCGAGAAATTGAAAGAAAAAGAAAACGTGGATTCAAGCATGACCAAGTAAAACTTTCCAAAACCATTAGCACTCCACAAAGAAGAAAAGAATGAAAAATTCTAATATCAATTGTTTTTTTAAATAATTGAAAATCTCAAAGGGTTATAATATTCCAATTAAGAAACACTCTTTTTAATCTAATATTTTGTTAACCTATAATATTATAAACAATAATAAAAAAACAGATATTTTAAATAATTATCATTAACATATTTCAGAGGCAACAAAATTCATTCCCCCTAAACTAGATAAAACCCAAAATAAACTTGAGAAAAAAAGTTTAAAGTAGAAATCCTGATTCTCTAGGTTGTCTCGGTTCGTCCCAAAATGCAAGGGGGGGGGGTGGTCTGTTCATAGTTCCCCGGCACAGCACGGCAAACACCGAAAGCTCGTCATTTACTAGGTAGAATTAAATTTGTGAGTTTTTACTTATTTACCCCTTTACAGACAGATCACAGCCATTGATTTCACTAACGTGGTGAATCTTAACTGGCTCTCACCGCCAAACCGAATATTCCTCCAGCGGATCCTCCTCTAACCTCTATAAAACAGCCTTTAACACAACAGAAGGAGTTAAAACTCCCACAAACAAACCAGAAACCAAACCAGAAACCCAAAACTCTACAGATAAAACCCCCTTTGAGACTCAAACTCAGACACAAACACAAACACAAACACAATGTGTGAGGCCTTAAAGAACAACTACGAGCTCTGTGAAGTGATCGGCAGGGGAAAATTCGGCACAATCTCTCGCTGTTTTTCACCCTCTTCAAACTCCTTCTTCGCCTGCAAAGTCATCGACAAGGCCCTCCTCACCGACCCTCTGGATCGTGAGTGTTTACAGAACGAACCAAAGTTTATGACCCTTTTGTCTCCGCATCAAAATATCGTTCAAATCTACAACGTTTACGAAACCGAGGAGTTTCTGTCCATTGTTATGGAGCTCTGCGAACCGGTAACATTGTACGACGAGATCTTACAGGGTCCCGTGTCGGAAGCGCGTGCGGCCGTGTACATGAAACAGTTGCTTTCAGCTCTTGCGCATTGTCACCGGTTCGGTGTTGTTCATCGTGACATTAAGCCGGAAAATGTTTTTCTTGATTCGAGAAATAAGATAAAGCTTGGGGATTTCGGGTCGGCGGATTGGCTCGGGGAGGTGGGAACCACGACTGGGCTTGTGGGGACGCCGTATTACGTGGCGCCGGAGGTGGTGATGGGGATGGAGTATAATGAGAAGGTTGACGTATGGAGTGCTGGTGTTGTTCTGTACACGATGTTGGCTGGGATCCCGCCTTTTTATGGAGAGACGGCTTCCGAGATTTTTGAGGCTGTTGTTAGAGGGAATTTGAGGTTTCCAACCAGGATTTTTCGATCAGTCTCGCCGGCGGCTAAGGATTTGTTGAGGAAGATGATTTGTAGAGACGTGTCCAGGAGATTCTCTGCCGAACAGGCTCTGAGTAAGTATTTTGTTAAGGATTGTTTGATTGTTGACAAATTCTCAAAGTTAGAATTTTTATTGGGTTTTCGTTATGTTAAATGTGATAATGCAAATGGGTATTATGATTTGACTTTGAGATTTCATGGAAAATGTTGAAAAGATATAAACTTGATCAAATTTGTTTCTATTTGTTTAAATTTGGAATTCAATTTTAACATTCTGGGTTCAAGTACTAATCTGTTTCTTTCATTTTTTAATGCAGGGCACCCTTGGATACTAAATGGAGGAGAAACAGCTTCAATGGACTGATATGATTTCTGATCTGACCCAAAAGACTTTCTCTTATCCGAGGAAATAAATAAGTCAAAAATCATAGGGAAAAAAAAAAAGAAAAAAAAAAAGAAACTTTTGTAGCATAGCTTACCACTAATTGCCACTGCACATATTACTTCTACCTATGTAACCTATCAGCCCCTGGAAGAGATTCCATTTTTCTTCTCTACAGGACAAAACTCTGATGGATGGTTCCAGAAATTCCAGTTTTTTTATTTTTACCAGGCCAGTGCCAGAGGAGTTAAAAGAGAAGATGCGCACACGGGTCTCTGCTTCAAGAGGCTAAAGCCTAAAAGTATTTTTGTTTGTTTTGTTTTATTTTGTTTCTCTTTAATGTTGTGAAGAGAATCCGAGAGCTTGTAGATAGATAAAGGCAGAGCGATTCTCAGTCTTTCCCCGCCTTTACCTTTTTTGGACATGAGAATTAAAGGAAGTGAGAAAGCTGAATGAAGTTTGTAGCTTCACTGCTACCACTACTGCTACTTGTACCAAGTTTATGAGTAATAATAATAATAATAGAGTGTGAATGTTTTGTGACTTTGAATCTTTTGATAGTGGCATTTGGCATGTCCTTGGATTTAAACCATCTTTTTACTTTGCTTTCTGGGCTGGGAATCTGAATGATGCATTTATTTCTGATATGTGGTATATGCTTTTGTTTGGTAGAAGCTAATCTAGCTGTTACCTACTTCCCAAGTTTCATCTCTTATTTGTGAATCTTTTAGTGGGGAAGTTCATGGAATATGCTTTGGTATAAACCAGAAAAATTTGACTTTACATCCAGAAAACAGGGAGTGTTTTAGTTCACATTCCAATGGCCAATCAACCAATCAGTCTTCTGCGTTATTGACTTTAAACACAATTTATGACTTCATTTCTGAGTACCCGGAATCCTATTCATGATCAAAATGAACTACAAATATTAGTACAATACAATGTGGAAGGTGGTTCTCATCACATGACTCACTAATTCACGACCTAAGCATTTGCGTTTTTTCTGATGCAATGAATGAATGAGGAATCTTGGGTTTCACCCATACTGTTGATTTTATTTATATTTCTTGGGACCGGTCAGTAACACAAATCTAGGAGAGGTAATGTGTGTTTGATGAGAAAAAAATGGGTTCAGATTTATTAGACATAAAGTTTAGATCAGTGGAATACCAGATGAACAAGTCATATATATTTATATATATTCACACTTTTCACAAGTAGAATAGAGGACCATCTTGATAAGTTATCTCAGTTTGAAGAAATCTTTCATCAAGAAGTCTGGTCAAGTTTCCACAGTCTCTCCTCCAACCCACTTCACACTCAACCTCTTTGATCAGCAAAGAGACTTTTAAGAACCCAATTCATCACAATAATGAAGCAGACCAATCAGAGTTTGGTACTCAACTCCTAATTAAGTTAACCACCCTTAGGTGACCGAACAGTTAAATAGGGACTCTTGGGCTATTACCTAAGAAGTCTTGAGTTCGATTCACCTCGTCTATTAATAAGAGTGGTAACTAGAGGTTTATCTGACCGTTAACTTTAGGATTCCAAAGTTTCGTTAAGATGCTTGCAAGCTAATCCAGACATCTTGGTCATTAAAAAAAAAAAAAAAACCGCTTAATTAAGTTGACATTGGAGTGCTTTAAGGATCAAATAATGGAGGCTTGAGCTTGGGTTTTCATTTCTGAAAACAGTTTCTTGGTAGTTGAACTAATTAATAGTTGAATAATACATTGTTGAAGCTATGACTTAGTGTGAATGGAGGGGATTAATTTAATAATGATATAAAGAGGACAAAATCATTCAACCACCTCTTGTGCCAACTGCAAAATTAGGTCCTACCCATGTGCTTCAAAAATTTTTCACCAAGTTTCATGGATAAATCCAAAATTAAAGTACTTATTTGCCAAGAAAGTACTTGTTGAGGCTTGGATTCTTTTATTTTTCTCAGCTTTTACATGTTCTTCCACAATTGTTTATTATTAAATATGACCATTCTAGAACACTGTTTTGATGTTGAATTCATCCCCAGTTCACATGGAACTTTCTTTCTTTTAAAATTTTTAAGGTCTTTCTGCAGAGAATCTAAGACTGTTTAGTGTAAATATATAAGCAAACTGGTTATATGTGAGTCGTCGTTTATTTATTTAATTATTTAGTATGAAAGCTTGAAGAGAAAGTAATGCTTTGGTTAAAGAAAACTGGAAAAGGGCATAAAAAAAGGTTGCTTACTGGAAGAAGGTATTAAATATCTATAGATGGAGACAATAGTATTGGAGCCATGGAACATGCTTAAGTTTATTCCATCTTTTGACTTAATGGACATGGACCATAGAGGTTTATTGAGTAGGTTTTAGTAGTAATGCCAACCAAAATTAGGTGTCAAAAGTTTCTAGAATAAATATTTGATTGAGATTTTTAACTTGAAATCTTGACTTATATTATATACTATTCATCTATTATAATTTAATTTTGTAAAGAGTATTGATGATTTCTCAACATAAATTATACACTATCATAAGAGTAATACCACACATACAACATTTCTCATATAACATTATGCTGCAAAATATGATCGGCTAATTTTAAATTAAAATTAAACTTTCACCAAATCATCTTTTGTCACATAATATTGTATAAGAAATATTGTATGAGTAGTATTATTCCTATCATAACTACCATTGGGTGACTTGATGGTAAAAGAGTAAGAGAATGTTCCATAAGCTCCTAATTTCAAGTCCCCCCCATACATTAATAGCGATGGTCACTAGGACTCATACTTAGCCAATAGTTCCAAGGCCTCAGGGTATTAGATGAGGTGTCGTAAGTGGACTGAGTCAGGAACCTTCATCTTCAACCTCGACCTTGTTTTGATACTATCTCTTTTAGCCTTGACCGAACCCTAGATTTTTGGGAACGGGATTGAGGGCCAGAGAAATGCATATCCACCCTAAGCCCCTTACCAAAAAATCCTTATATTTTAAAAAATAATAATTATAATCGATTATATCCAGTTAATGCATTATATATTTTTCTTGGGGATGAGCTAGGTTTTTCTGGTTTTCACCTTTACCCGTCCTCACCTTCATTCCCGATTTTGGAGTGCATAATTTTTGCCATCCCTTCTTCCAACCCGAAATTTTCTTAGGATTTCCTACCTAATAGGACAAGATTTTTTTGGGTACTGGACCTTGTTAGGTTTTTTTTTTTTTTTTAATGATTGGGATGTTCGACTAATCTTACGCGCACCTTGACTAATCATTTGGGACCCTAAAACTACCGACTAGGTAAGAACTTCAATGACTACCCCTATTAGAAACCGAGGAGAGACTCTTACTCAAAACCTCTTGAGTAATACATCCAAGAGTCTTTAACGAACTATTTAGTCACCTAGAGGATCTAATATTATAATAAAAAATAATTGAATAGTGTGTAATATTTTTATTGAATAATCATGTATTTAATTAGACATACTGATAAATTACTCCGTAATATATATTATTGGTACCCATTCTTTTACAAGGTACAAGGTTTTAAGATAAAATATTGGGATAATCTAAAAATTAATACAAAGTTGGGGATCGTTCAGTAATCGACCCATAAATTTAATTCTCCCCTAAATTTTGAGAGAATAAAAAAGCCACGAGAGGGAGTCAAAAGTTAAACATAATTCAAGAAGGTTTGGCCAATAAGTTTGTCTTTATATATTTGGAACTTACCAATTTCACCCAATTCCACTCAAGTGCTGATGTGTAAGGGCCAGATCTGCAGAATAGCAGATCAATAGACTGAAGTTAAATGTATTTTTTTTTTGATAACTTATCTTCAAATTCATTTCTAAATTATTTAATATTATTTATCTGATTGGTCCAAATTCATTAATATTTTATTTGTAAATATTTCCAAATCTCATGTGACATTGTTTGTGCATAGCTTATCTGTCACGCACTTATATTAACACTTGGATGGACGGCAAAGTATATGAATAAATTAAATAATCAATTATCCAGGTGTTTGTCATTTAAAGCTTTAGTATAGTAGGTGTCTAAAAAAATGTTAATATTTTAACAAAAAATAAAAATAAAGAAAACAATTGGACTCGCTCACATCTCTAAAAATTAAGCTGAAATCATATTAGCTTGAAATAGGTCAAAAATTAACATCAAGTCTACCAAATTTAGCAGAGAAATACTCTGTTAGGTTTTTTTTTTTTTTTTTTTTTTTGGTGACTGAAAGTGTTTGAATCAGTTTATTCGCATTTCGATTAATCTTTCGGGATGACGATCGGATAAATCTTTTAGTAATTTTTGTGATTGAGAGTGTCCAAGCCGGCTTACATGTACATTGATTAATTCTCTGAGATCTTAAAGTTAACAACCGAGTAAATCTTCTAGTGGCCATCTGTATTAGCAAACGAGAAAAATCGAACTCAAGATCTCTTGAATAATACACTTAAGAGTCTCTATTGTCTCACTCAATCATATAGAGATAAAAAAAAAAAAAAAAAAACTACCAAAGGGTTTAAAAAAAACAAGAACTATTCTAATGGTTCATACTTCATAATATTTATCGAAAATCTCTTTTGATAGGAAGGAGTAAATGATAAATATTTTAACATATTGTTTGAGTTTGAATAAATTTAACGGTTCAAATTCACAGATAATTGAACATTAATTATTATTATTATTGATTAAGGTTCACGTTTTTAAATTAAAAAGAATACCAAGATTCGTTCCAGAAAGACATATGTTTGATATGTTATATTGAAGTTGAAAATTGATGGAATTAAATTGAACCTGTTTATACAACGGCACATAAAATCTTTTATCTGCTGGAAATGGGTTGTAGAATTTGCATCTTTCTTTTATTTTTTTCAACGTTAAGTTGATAAAAGAACAAAACTTTTTGTTATTTTATTTGAAAGAATATATCTAAATTAATATATAATAACAAGATGTCCATTATTAATAACATATATTATCAATTAAACCTACCATTAATAATAAGATTGTTGTTTGGATGAAGCAGAAATAATGGAGTTTGTTGC